ATGTCACAAATGAAACTATAGTGTGCCTCTTAATGATAAAACACAGTTGGCTTTGCTGCTTGCCTCTGTGAAACTAAGCAGATCACCCATCATGAGCAGTAATAAGGATAATGTTAGACGTCCATGTGTTTGTTAATCATGAGTGAGTCATGCATGTGCTGTGGTTTCTTTCATGGTTGCAACAAGCCTGTAACACAGAGTCATCATTCAAAGAAAGGACAGGGAAGTCTCTGATCACAGCATCAGACATTATGGCACCAACAACTAATCAGAGGTTAAGGATAGAGGGGCATTCAAAACATGTAGGACTACCAACCGTTCCAATATTGCAGACAGTCTTGACCCCGGCCAAATGACATGTTTTGTTGATTTCTTAAGTGAAAATATTTTCCTGAAAATTTTAGTGCACAATTTCTACTTATTTGTTTAGTTTAACATTTTGGAAAAAGTAAAACATAAAATGTGCCATAACTATTGCATACACCATATTTTATGTTTTTTTTTTTCAATGTTAAATTCTGATTTTGCATTAAAATTATGAAACTACTTATTTTCACTTAAAAAAAATCAACAAAACAGCATTTGACCAATGTGTTCAAACTTTTGCATACAACTGTATGGCAGCGTATATGTTTCAGTTACTACCAAATAGCAGGTTTTGGACCTATAGTTGACCTATAGGCTATTTTTGAGGAGGACATTTATAATATGTCAGATTACCACCTACTGCAGTGTTACATATATGGCAGTACCAATGTTTCTTTTACAACCAAAGAGGTGTTCTTAGCCATGCTAATGAATGGTGCTAGTTGGATTGGTCCCATGATTGATGCTGATTGCATTTAAGCAAATAAGCCCTCAGTTTCTAGGAAGAAAAATATTTGGCCTACACCCTCTCCCAGACTACAACACCAGCAAAGAGCTTTCTCTTTTCTGTAACAGCAGGAACATGTGACATAAATCTGTAATCAAATCAGGACATCAATATTTTGATGTTGTTTAGACTGGAAAAGTGATGCTTGTGGTGCAGTAAGAGCCACGTCCAAAGATAGATCACCATTTCTGCTCAGATTGAGCAACACATGAGCAACTACATTTCAACACTAGTGACACAACTTTGAGGCCATCGCGATCCGTTGTACAAACGCTGAGGCAGGAAGATGGAGCAAGATCTGCAAAAATGCCTTCGTACCAGGCATTGTGTCATAAACAGCTCTGCGACAATTCATTTGTGGCTTCTGCTCCAGTTATTAGTGTTCATTTCCTCTTCTATTTCGAAACTGTCTAAAGGCTCAATCAGGCATTGCAGCAGCAGGGCAGTTTTGTAGTGGAGTGATTACATAAGCATTCAGACAACAGACTAGACCAGAGGTATCCAACTCTGGTTCTGGAGGGCTGCAGTCCAGCATAGTTTGGAGATTTCCCGGCTTAAACACACCTGAATTAACTAACCTGTTACTCAATTTATCAATGCACTGCCTACAAATGCATTTATAGCAAGTGCTGCGATTCTGTAGACAAAAATCGAACTCAGCTCAATGAGAGAGTCACTCAGAGTCACTTTTTTGTCAAAATACATAAATTATTCATAGCAAACCACTACAATGTTTGTTTAAAGACAGTACATACTATTGATTTTCCAGTGTAAAATTACACCACAATAACGATCTTGCTGATGCTCCGGCTTGATAACTAATTTTTAATAGCCGACTGGTCATTCATAAAAGTAGTCGACTAGTCTATGCAACCCCTAGATGTTGCTAATTAAAACTAGGCTGGAAATGATAATGACAATGCATTTGCCACTATCATGCCAACATTAGCTCAGTTACACAAAAACTACAAAAGAAACGGGACCTTTCAGAAAATATATGTTCAAAATAAACGTTATTTGAAACAAACAACACGCTCTAAAATTAAGGTTTAGTAAGAGACTGACAAAAACCCCTGGTCACACTTTATTTGGATGGTCCCCTATGGATGATCTACAGATATTTACGTTGTTAACAAACTATCTTGTGATAGTCGATTATCAACAACATTAAGGTTAGGGTTAGGTCTAAGAGTAGGTGTAGATTTTGCCTTGGGGTTAGGGTTAGGGTTACGTTTAGGGTTAGGGATAAATTTACTAGAACCTTTCACACACAATTCACACACATCTTCAAGTGCAGTTGTATTTAATAAATATTTTTGTTGAATATTAGTTAAAGATAGACTGTGCATCTACAAAGCATGTACAGTGGCTACAGTGGACCATCCAAATAAAGTGTTACCTACCAAACCCCTCTACAATTTCATATTAGCTTGGATGGGCTAGCATTGTTTTCCAACTTTGCAATAGTAGCCACAAAAGAACACAGCTGTACAATTAATTTTATAGTGAAAGAAGTCACATATAAACATTTCATATTTTATTTTACATTTAATAATTACATTTTTGACAACTCTACCAGGTTTGAGCGAAGTGTGTAATAATTTAGGCATAATTTTTTTCACATGCTAACTACTGGTTAGCTACATTAGCCTTGTAGCTCCAGTGCAAATCTACAGAAGTAAACATTAGACACTAAAGGGAATAAAGCAAATGCACTAACCTTGCTAGTTACTAAACAACAGTATAATTCAATGCGCTGCAGTATAATTAGATCCAATACAATACATTACATTTCTACATCCTATAACATTACTCACTAGGTTGTACACCATGGTGTCAGCAGCAGTTTCTGATTAGAATTTAATTGTGCACGACTGGTTGGTGTAAGTCTTGTGTGAATGTGGGCCACTTTCAGGACACTGAGTCAGCAAAGACAACCTCAGCAAATGTTCACAAGGGCCCTCAAAATCCTTGTACCTATCTCTTCACTCTGTCATAAAGCGTGTGTGTGTGTGTGTGTGTGTATATATATATGTATGTGTATATATGTATATATATATATATATATATATATATAAAAAAAAAATATATAATTGCAGTGACAGCAAAATTTGCCCTAGCCTGAGGTACCCTAACACATTAACCAGGGACCGCCAGACATGTCTGTCAGCTCTCCGGCCTTGTGCCACTTCGTTTATATTTGAGATGATATCGTGAAATATGTTGACACTTCTGCATTTGATTGCATTTGATTGATTGTGCACAAAGTGGGCTGAGATGGAGGCCTGAGGAAACAGATGGAGCAAGGGCACTATAGAGAGGAGAGATGGACAAGGATTTGTTGCCAACAGCAATGAAAACAAAGGCCACTCTGTCCCCACCTCAGCGCTAGCCGTCATTTGAGCAAACTACAAAGAGTTATTTGCATGTCAGAGGTTAACATGACACAAGGGTTTTACTGTTCTGAGGAACAATGAACGGCTGAGAGCAAAGTGAAAGGTGGGCACATAAACCAAAACTAGAGCCTCCACTTAACTTCCACAAAGACCCAATCTGTGACTTTGACATTTTGATGCCTAAATGATGGTCACCTAGAACATTACCATTTGCCACCTTTGCACTGAGGGTTCCTGGGTTGAGTTTTAGGCCTGCGGTCAGTGAACATAATCACACCGCTGGGCCATTAAGGTTATGTATGATGTATGAAGCTGTGGTGTAAACAAAACTCTGTCATAAGGAACCGATTATAGACTGAAACGCAGAAGTGCTGGCCTGAAGGGTGGTGTCATAAATGACATCATTAGCTGGCTTTACAGACACTATAAATATAGATCATCACACGCCCTTCTTAAACACCCCCATTCACATTCTCCAGTATCGCCATGTAATGTTTTTCAACCAACACCCCCCCCCAACAGAAAAAAAGCACACAGCTGGCAGTCACAAAGAGACGCTAAAACATAAATCAAGTCAAAACAGAGCAAGCCTTTATGTTATCTTAAGCATTAAATTGCATAAACATTATTTATGAATCAAGAACTCATTTGTGGCCTTTGCCTCAGCGCTCAGGCTAAATAGCCACTAATGAGTGTGGTGGAGTTTCCACATTAAATTTCACATGTTTCCAAGCAATGAATTGCAAACCATAAAATGAGATGTTTGTAGACTTAAGTTTGACTCAATTCGCTGCCAAATAATCTTTAAAAAATGAGCACCGCTTCATTCTAGTGAATTAATCTTCAATATAATTCTGACACCTAAATACCTGTATGGATGCCTTATGAGAAACTAAGACATTCAGTTCTTCACAGGACGTTCAGCTTCAGGAAGTTGTGCACATGGCTTCATTTAAAGGAAGGAACACCAACACGTGCAAAGAAAACATGACAGAACATCTGCAATTCCCACAGCCTTTTCTCCATCATAGCGAATGGGACGTGCACCAAGACAAACAGGCTAGTAGACTACATTGCTTTTCTCCTACTTTAGGACATTTGTATTTTACAGTGCTTTTCAACATAATATCTGATCACAGATACAGAAAAGAACAGAAAACTTGATCAAAACAGATGCACAACAGTAGCCAGTGGACAAGTGCTTCAGCATCTGCCCACTGGCTTCTATTAAAAGCATGTCTCGAGTCAGTGGGTTTTCTGTTCCTTTTTTTAAGCACAAGTAAGCATGTTGAAAAAGCTGTCCATGGTAGTTGACCATATGTTAGACGCAGCAGACAGAGATAAGGTTGAAAAATGCTGCAGTCTACATGAGCATGGTCTAGTTAAGGTAGAAAGAAATGCAAAAGTAAGGAGTCACTTTGGTGACTACGTGCATGTGGAGGGGTTGTTCTATGTGCATGCAATGCAGTGCAGTCCCAACTTTACTGAGGAGGCTGGGCATCCCAAAAGTCACCTTGGACCCGCCTCTACCCATTCAGAGCTATAAACATCCCTCAAAGGCACACATTCATGCAGCAGATGCGAAACTCTAGTACAAAAACAAAAGTCTTCACATAGGCACATAGCTATAGTCCCTTTAAACAGCTACTGATGCAATGCAATGTCCCATTCTCTACCACTACACTGATGTTGATATAAGAGGAGAAGATAAAAGGCAAACAAGAACTTACTCTTTTGCTGAGAGAAAAAGCTAGAGAATGTGACAGACGAGGTCTCCCCCTCTGTCCCGAGGGATCCTGCACTGTTGTCACTGCTCTCCAGTCCACCCCTGAAAGAGGCAGGAAAAAGTATGTGTCCCCCAGTGCTTCCTGTGCTGCTGAGACACAAGCGCACTGTGGTTTAAGGATGGAACAACAACAGAGTTCCCAGCTTCTCAGCCAATCATGGCTCCACTCTGCTCTGCAGGCCCCTCCCCCCTCCCCCGGAGTTCCACCAGCCCAGGCAGTACAAGCAGAAGCTAGAGAGGCTTTTTAAGGAGCCCCAGCAAAAGAGTGCTGCAGCATCACAGCAGGACGGCTGTACAGGACGGCCCATGCTAGCACTGAGCAGCTCCACTGACCAATGCTCTGCTGAATATGCTTTATCAGATTATACACTCTAACTGGGTTCTATACAGAACAATTATCGGTTCAAAATCTAATTTAACATACTGAACCCCAAAAAAAGGTGCTACATAGAATCATTTCATAGGGCTCTATAGAGGTTCTTTTTGCAATATAAAAGGGTTTAAATACAGTAATGTGCAAAAGTCACCCTTCATTAATTTAATATCCAGACAAACTGACCATTAAAGACAAGGTATTCATTTTTTAGCAGGAAAAATAGCGTAAAACATATCTTAAATAGAAAACGACACAGAAGTCTCAACTGCTAAACATAATACAGTTTTTTTCAGTGTTTAGTGTGTCCACCCTTAACCTTTATTACAGCTTCCATTCTTTTCAGGACACTTTCAGCTTTTTAAAAAGAAGTTGGAATTTTCTGCCTTTCACAATCCAAGTAATCACAAATACATTCAACAGCATCTAGGTCTGGCCTCTGGGGTGGTCCTTTCACTGCACTGAGAACACCAGCAGCTTCTTGGACCCACCCTTTAATTCCTCGCTCTCAACTACATAAGTCACCCATTAGTTAATAACAAGTCTTAAAATTAATAACTAAAAAAGAAGCCTAGGGTTCGAAGCGGTCAAATTCACTGACATCATCACATTGTTCTCTTTCCCACAGTCTGCCCAAAGGGCCTGACTGACAGCACTGTCAACAGTCAAAATGGGTGGGACCCAAAGGGATGAGATTTTTGGTCTTGGCAACTTGTAGCACTTGAATGTTTTCCATTTCTAAACAATGTGACTCTGCTTTTATAATCGCAATGAAATATTATGTCTAGATTTGCTTGCCTGAAGGAATGAAGGGGAGGGTTAAACACATCCTCGTAATCTTCTTATTCATTTACTGGCTCGGAAAATAAGTCCCTTTACTAATTTGTTGAAGAGCAGAATGAGGAATTAGATGCTGATTTGACTTTTATGAATTCAGCTGGGAGCACACACACACACACACATACACACACACACCCTCATAAACACACAGAAACACACTTACACACACACAAACAAATGCACATGTTAAGCTAATCAGTTTTCTTTCCTCACGCTTTGTCATCTTACATTAGTCTTCATCTCGGCTGGGACTGTGCCATTGGAGTGTTTAATGAAGGGTAACCGCAGCCTCAAATGTGAAGGGTCAAACACAGCATCCAAAGAGATGGTACACACGGCACCATTTAGCTGTTTAGGTGGTCAACAGGGGCCTACCTGCAGTACAATGTACTTAGTAGTATTCAATCACAGAAAGGCTCTGTGGTATTCTGTTGTTTCTGGAGGTCGTTTTTATGTTGCGACATCCCTGAATTAACCTATATGTTCGCTGCTCAAGGTTTCTGTACCCCTGGAGCAACTTAAGGCTAAACGGCAACGGTCAGGAGATGGAACCCTAGAACATGGAAACTTTCTCTGCTAAAATTACACAATTTTACCCTCACCCGAAATGTAGTGAATCAACTGAGAAATGTCTGACATTTGCTTCTTTAGTTTTGCACTGTAGCTACAAGGTTAATACAGCTAACAAGTGATGGAAACTTACAGCACCAATTAGCATTGTGTAAACTGCCTGCCTAAATCATCACCCACTCTTCGAGTTGCTCCTCAATAAAACTCGGTTATGTAGTATCTGACCCTGTTACATACTGTTACTTATAGTTAACTGTTTCAGGTACCCGTGTTTGAATGCTGAAAACATGTGGGCATTCATTACACTGTATCACAGAAAGGCAGGGAGAAAATATACAGGCCAGCAACTGTTTGACAGTTTCAATCATATGATTAAGTGTGTATATTCTATTTGCCACAATGAAACACGAGTTCCTTATGTTGCCAAGGACAAGACTGAGAAGGCAGAGATAGTGTGGCTGTAGACTAACTACTCTAGCTGTTGTTAGTCTGAGCAAAACACAATGAAAATATATTTCTCTGTGTTGTCTTGGCAAACTAACATCTTGACACATCTTCCACTAGGGAGAAAAAAAATGCTGTGTCTCTTTATGAGGTTGATTGGTGTGCATTTAAGGGTTAAACAGCAGACTGTTAGGAAAATGTGCTTTGAATCATCAATCCTGCGGTACTTTAATAAGGATTATAGCTACTAGACTACGTTAAAAACAATTAATGTATTTAGAAGGAAATTAAAATGAGAAAAACTAAAAAATAATTGAATATAATTACTGTCATTTTCACTGAAACTGCTCAACAAATGGTTTATTGGTTGGAACAACTATTAGCTACCTACTTTGGTGAGCTCACCTTCTCTCATGTCTTCAGCTGCATCAGAAAAGGAAGAGGTGCTGCTGTCTCTCCCTCAGTGACCACCTCTGGAACTAACAGCGTGTTTTAGCAGCTGGGCTGAGGCAAAACTTCATTTGGTTATGTTCACAGAAAGACTGTCTGTTTAAAAAAAGCTCACTCGCTCCATTGAACCAAAGCCTGCGCTTCTTTATCAGCTTGTGGTTTGTGTTACAAATGACTGCGAATGTAGCTAAACGCCATAGATATGGCTAATCGCTAGTTAGCTGGCTAGCTAGCTTACTTTACTACAACACATTGTTTGGCACAGTTCAGGCTCACCTGTTTCCTGACAGAAACGGGTCAGATGTTGTTTGCCCATTTGCTTTCTCTCTCTCCGCTCCTTCCCTTTCTGAAATCCTGAGTTTGGTTTCATAGAAACGACTGGAAGAAAGGACATCATATCTCGGAAAATGCACTAGATGTACTTTTGAATTGTTTATTTCTATAACAACTAATTTATTTCCGAGGCTTCTCGAGGGCCCCCTGTCCATCACTGCCCGCCGTCCGACACCCACAGAAGCATCACCATCTACGGTTGCACTGGTTGAAATAGTATTAGCTTATTAGCTCATCTCAAGGGGCAGCCACCTTATCCGACACAAAAACCTTCTTTTTTAACCCACGTGGTTGAAAGATATCAGTTAGCTGCTTTTGAACTATAAAAAGTGTTTTAAAATGTAAACCTATCTGTGCTGCTAAAATTCCCCTTTCTTAGCCTGCGAGCCCCAGTGTACCAGTATACCCTGTTTGTGTAGTATGATTATTTCCTTTTCTCCATGATTAACCAATAACCATTAACTCATACGGATGCTAGAATATCAAAACGAGATCAGATGCATATTACATACTGTTATGTACACACAAACTGCCACTGCATATCTAAAATAAGGTGGCAGCAGTCATCTTTAAGCCTGAGTTTAGTTGTAGTTTTGTCCAAACTCATTGAGACATGTTTACATGCACTTAATAATCTGATAACTGCAGAAAATCAGACTTTGTCAGTAATCCAATCAACGCGTTTACATGCACCTCCAATAGCAAGACTTGATGTAAACGTAAAGTAAAACTCAAACTTCATGCCACAGCTTTTTTTAAACACCGTGTCACTTCATATGAATATATAAACCAACATCATCTAGAAGATTAAGAATATTTAAATCCTCAATTTCATCTCACAGCAATGCACAGACTGAGAAATCTGAAAGAAATCAGAGTAAGAGTATACGTACACTTAGAAATCCAATTACTGAGCCAAAATCCAGCTCTCTTTATTGGATTTCTTGATTGGTTTTCTAGACCTTACTCCGATCTAAGAAATTGGAGTATGCTGTTCACATGACCATTTCAATAATCAGATAACTGCAGAAATCCAATTATGATCAGATTATTAAGTGCATGTAAATGCACTTAATCATGCTGGTTTACATACTAGTGGTCATCAAATGGTCCAGCAGTGCGCTGTGTGATGAATGATGTGTCAAATGAAAAAGATTCACAGTGAATACTGCGGCCCAGTGATCAATGCTTAATTTAAATTAGAGTTTATTTATTTGAATATATTAAATGGCGAAATATTAAACGTTAAAGTCATTGTGGATCAGAAATCAGAAAATGCGTAGCACATTTTCCTTCCGTACTGTGATGTTTTTCCAAGTGAAACAATAGTCCCCTTTACTCAGAGGCCATCTTGGCACCCCCCAGGCAGTTATTTCCAGTCTTCCAAACTGAGAGGGACCTTTAAACCCACAACTAAAAGCCACATTAACATTTAAAAAAACACTGGTAAAATCTGAAAACAATACATAAACAGTTTGCAGTGTTTGGCTGATGAACTGTACAAAAACGTGTTTTTACATGTTGTTCTGCCTACTTTATATGCACATTTCTCCACAACAAGGGGGAGCTTTTAATGCTTACATCTTAACCAAAAAACTGAATGGCTTTCTTTTCTGGAGGTTGGGACTTTCCATAATTGGTTTCTATGTTGAGCATTATGAGAAATTCCATTCGTTTTTCAACCAGTGAACTGTCTCCTTCTACTTTATCATGTCTCTAGTGAAATGCGTTACTAGGAAGGATCTGAGCTAGCTGAGTGTGTTGGCTTGATGAGTGGTGGGGGGTTGTGGGAGGGGGAGGTGAAACATGATATTATTGGATAATATTATTTTTCCTGCTAGTGCATGATGATGTCATCAAAACTCAGGAGATGTTTTCAAGACAGACCAAAGTCATTATACTGACCTTTGCCTGCCTTGAAGATCACAGGAAAGCATGAATTTAGTCTTGAATTGTGCTTGATTTCATGTTGACTTGCATTTGTTATGCACTTATTCAGTGTTTTGTATATTAATGACTAATAGCTGATCTCACTAATGTTCATTTTAAGATGGGATT